CCTTTTACATCCAGTCTTGTCCTTCAAATGCAAACACTGACAAGAAATCAGAAGTCAAATACATATGAAGATTTATTGATAGCCGGCAAATGTTAGACATAACCGGACTAAGGACATCACTGCAGAAGTAATGCTGATAGCAACACAAACATTATTACTATCTTAATGAGTCACTCTTCGAACGGTTTAGGACAGCTTGATGTCTTCCCATAAGGACAGAGCATTTTAGGGTAAAAACTCAAAAAGTAAAGAGAAGAAGAACAAAGCCCTCTCAAGGAAGACCCCAAATACAAAATGCCGGAAGGTAACCTTTATGAGCTATTTGAAATAATCGAGATAATATCTGCCCATGCACACTTCAAACTTATTATGAATTTCCAACGTTTATTTTTTTTACCTCTCTATTTATCAATGAAATGTCTAACATAGATTTAATGGCATTACATCTAAAGGTTGTGAATGATACAGTCCCCATTGGTATCTTATCCCGATAGGTTTTAAAATCCCTCGGAGGTCGAGCCCTTTTTCATTTGCGATAGACTTACGCTCGTGAAGGTTACCTGATACATTTTTGTTGGCATCATGCGGCGTTTAATTGAGATATCTTCCACAAACCTAAACCATCAAATTCGTGACACCAACTGAGCATTCTTAAAATTCGGCGGCACCTTTTTATCTCACGTGGACGTGCTTGTGTCCGGGGTACGTAATAGGCTCTGGAACAGTAGGTAGATACCAGTTACGTGTACACGTGCTAAATAGGCCCGACAAAGTACGCCACATGACGTAAAGAACACATTTCCAGAGTACCGCCCGACTCCTGTCTTACGTCTTTATATACATCAACATTAATTCTTCCCCATCATCATAAAACATACAAACATGTTAAATATACGTTATATATCGATGTAGATGAAGTACCTCCGGCGGAACAGATAGTAAATCAAATACCAGCACTTACATCTACATTTGATTTTGGTTTTGAAATGATAATTAAAGCCAATTGTTTTTGACGTGCCTGTATTTCCGCCAGATAGAAGCGCACACTTGTCGGAGGATATCTAAGTGTTATGTCGATGCGCTGTGCTGATCTGTGCCAGGCAGGGTAGCAGCACTTTATGAATGAGTTCCTGAGAAAAACAAAAATGGTGAAATCAAATTCTGTTCTTGTTAAGATAAGGTATCAACACAATCGGCGACAATGATTGAGACTCATGGTCTATCCAATACATTTCAGGGCCTTCCCCGGCACGAGGTCGAGGTGATACATGATGTATGTTATGTCCCTGACCTTGCTTCAAATTCACTTTCCCCCTTTTTCGATCAAAAAGAGTTTACTTCTGGTGAGGTTAATATGCTTCTATTCCATTCGTTAAATCTTTATACATCGCCGTTATTTAATTCGCTCTTGTTCTCGAATGTGCATCGTAATCTTTGATGTTATGAAACAAATACACTTCTTTAAATCATAACAAGGGTATTTTGATCCTACATATGCGATGTAGTTGTGATATCGTCTAAACACAAAGGTATTTCGATCCTAAACATTCTTAGCATAAGGCGTCCACCAGAAAAATCACAAAGACGTTGACAGGAGGAAGAGGAACTAAGCAATTTATCATCTGTAGATATAGATTGATGGTCAGAGTTAATTAATCAATATCAGGGAAACACATTAATGAACACGATATATTGTATCAAACTGTATAACAGATTCGATGTCATTAACGCAGTATAGAACAGTTACACCTGTAAACTGTGATTTATCCTCTAAAGTTATCAATACCTAACAGATATTGTTGTGATGCTTAAAATTTGTCAAAAGGGATCTTTTGTCCTTAACAAAATCATCACGTAACATTTTATAATGTATTACAATTGTACAAAACGCACGAATAAAGATAAAATGTGTTAAGTTTGTAAATACAGGCCTGAGATTTACATTTAATCATTAAATGAAGGTTGTGTAACGCAAGAGAAACCAGCTCTGGTGTAGCAAAAAAGAATGGGATGGTGCAAGTTAACTTGTTTGATTGTACATCGGAAGGGCTTTTGAAATTTCAAAAACACTCATGATTCAAGACATATACCTCAAATATCATTTCCTATGTCATTCATTCAGTCGTACTCAACACTTAACTTGTGTGGAAGAGGTCATCTTTCATGTATAATGGTATAATAATGTATACTAGTGTGATATATTGTACTGGTGTTTTACTAGTGCTGGGAAATGATGGATAGCATTCGGTAAATGAAAATGATTTTTTTATGACTGCAGTGAATTTGAGTTGTATTTGATGATAGACATTACATTCTTTCTTTGGCTCCAGTGGCCTGATCACATACCGAGCGATATCTTACTCCGCCTGGAGCTCGCGGATTGATACATTCGCCGATCTGATGACAGAAATGCACACCTTTATCAGAAACTCCACATCCGTACAGCACATTAATCGTATTGATGTTCGGATGTAACAAGCCACGTAATTGGTCGACAGGTCATGAAGTAGAAGAAAATTTAATTCCCCGTGTAGATACTAAGTCCACGTATCACACCGAACAGCTGTGTCGCCTCAGAGTGACGAACGCCTAATAACATAAACATACTCTAGGGTTATACCTGGACATACCGACAAGGAAATATTATCGTGTTCTTCCGAAAATGTCTGTACAAACATTTATAATACTGATATTAAATCATTGTTCTGGTATCCAGCAGGCTTTGTTCCCTAACTTATCTAAGCGTTCGATTTTTATGCGCATTATTAATGCAGATATCTTTGTTTTACTGTACTTAAAATGGTTCTTAAACTTCCAGATTATATTTTACAAAAATCTTTTGACTGAAGAAAAGGCAAAGCAGTGTACCAAATTATTTTGTCTTTCCGGTTTTGTGTTTTTAAGAGGGGGGAGGTACGAAATGTGACGGAAATTGACCTACTGATTCAGTTGTGCTGTGTACCAATAGATATATATAGATTACTGAACATGAAAAAGGTTGATGTGTGTCTGAATTTTAAGGTTAGGTATAGATTTTACCAACATCAATATTCTATCTTTGAAACATACCTTTTAAATATCGGTCGAGTTATATATCACGAATGAATTATGCTATAATATACATGCGTTCTGGTCATTGTACTGATGTTGTCAACGTTTTTACTATCAGACCAATGATATCAAAGTACACAAAGTATGACGCATGGTGTTCCGGTCATATACATGTTTTAAAAGTAGGACGCATGGTGTTCCGGTCAGATACATGTTTTAAAAGTAGGACGCATGGTGTTCCGGTCAGATACATGTTTTAAAAGTAGGACGCATGGTGTTCCGGTCATATACATGTTTTAAAAGTATGACGCATGGTGTTCCGGTCATATACATGTTTTAAAAGTATGACGCATGGTGTTCCGGTCATATACATGTTTTAAAAGTATGACGCATGGTGTTCCGGTCATATACATGTTTTAAAAGTATGACGCATGGTGTTTCGGTCATATACATGTTTTTAAAGTAGGACGCATGGTGTTCCAGTCATATACATGTTTTAAAAGTAGGACGCATGGTGTTCCAGTCAGATACATGTTTTAAAAGTAGGACGCATGGTGTTCCGGTGATATACACGTTTTAAAAGTATGACGCATGGTGTTCCGGTGAGATACACGTTTTAAAAGTATGACGCATGGTGTTCCGGTCACATACATGTTTTAAAAGTATGACGCATGGTGTTCCGGTCATATACATGTTTTAAAAGTATGACGCATGGTGTTCCGGTCATATACATGTTTTAAAAGTTTTAAAAGTGACGCATGGTGTTCCGGTCATATACATGTTTTAAAAGTAGGACGCATGGTGTTCCAGTCAGATACATGGTGTTCCGGTGATATACACATACACGTTTTAAAAGTAAAGTACATGTTTTAAAAGGATGGCGCATGGTGTTCCGGTCAGATACATGTTTTAAAAGTATGACGCATGGTGTTCCGGTCAGATACATGTTTTAAAACTTTGACGCATGGTGTTCCGGTGAGATACATGTTTTAAAACTATGACCCATGGTGTTCCGGTCACAAGCACATTTTAAAAGTATAACGCATGGTGTTCCGGTCACAAACACATTTTTAAAGTATGACGCATGGTGTTACGGTTAAAATACTATATCATAGGAAACTTTAATGATAGTCAACACGAATTCGATGAAACTAGGGTAAAATATGCTTCATCTACAACCATTAAAATCTTAGTCAATCCAAGACAGAAATGGCACGTTCGAAAAATGAGAATGTAAAATCAAGCGGAACCACCAGGCCTAGCGTCAAAATTAGACATATGGTGCTCCGATAAGACCCATGGTGTGGAAATAAGACACACGGTGTTCCGGTCATGTCCTTCTGTTTTGTTTTGTTTTTTTTTTTAATTTCGATGATTTCAAAATACATAACATAACAATTGTGTCTAAGTGAACGCATGATAGATCAGGCGTTCAGATGTATTGTTATGTAAATCATGCACGAATATTTAAGTTCAATTCCTACATGTGTAGGGACAATATTAATGTTGGAAACTGTGTTAGGAAATTTGGTATTTTTGTCGATTTCTCTGACCTAAACAACCACACTAAAGGAGATTCAATAGCTGTCAGATGGTCTTCATATATATCCTCTGTACTTACACCAATTAACAAATAGCATTTTAAGGATCAAAGCGAACGAATTATGCTTTTTCTGTATTTACACAGACATTTTTCGTATTCTCCACCCACACCGGTATTTGTGTAGTAACGCGTGGATTACCTCTCCCCCGCTTCTCGTTACTCACCAGTGTACACACAACTCCCTGGGATCGATCTCGGGGTGTCGTAGTCCCGGGGCTACCAATCAGAGTGATCGAATCTGATGAGACTGGTATACTGCGTGTTGTGTCCGGACTGTATGGAGGTATACATGTGCTATGTGTCGATAACACTCGATACCGTGTATTGATCTGGACAAGTTTTATTGGAAGAAACTTTGTCGGATTTAACTCGACCTGTGAGAGGCATATACAATCCAGAGTTTAAAAGTTGTATTATTATTTAAATACTGTAGATCGATACTATAGCGAGCCAGGTGTGATAGTTACCTCAGCCTACAGTTCAGACCCGTGCCAGTGTAGCTTGCTGCTGGTATTTTGGTGAACAAAAATCATCCTTTAAATCAATATGTACACGTGCTATCTCGCGCCAAACATGTCGGTGATATAAAGTGGCCACTATGTAACGGTTGGGCAGAGGACGGATCTGTGAGAGCTCATCCTGGATGTAAACACACCATCGTTCCTCCTCCTCCTCTCACCACGTGGGTATAGACGGGACCGGCCCTGACCCCCCAACACATGTTCTCCTCGCGAGAGAACTTAGCAATGTTTGTGTATTGGATGTACGCATGCGCCGAGCGATGATGGCGACACACTGCAATGTTACGGAAGAAAAACACTAGCAACTGTATACTTAAACTGTAATTGAACAGTGGTGCGCGATTTAATGTCGAGGGACAACTTCTCCCCATGGACTATGCACTATGATGTTGAGCTCTGGTGCTGGGTACCTATGGCTGAGCGTGTTTCTGTCGACGGTGAGCCTCTCGGAGCAGACATTGACTAGAGGTATAGTATACACCGTTGTATCAGTGGGTCGAGGTCGCTCCCCTCTTCTACCAGCTTATGGTGTCAATATATCAAACCAGATACACTGCTATAACCACCCTGTTGCATGTATCTTCCATTCAGGAGAAAACCGATTTGTTATAGAGATTTTATTCTAGTCAATGTGCTGTATATTTAGATGGCCATATGACCTGTCGGGTGTGGAGGGGTAGTAGGTTTAGTACATCTTTACGATTTGTGTTGCCTTTGTAACGCTAGGAATGCTGATTATTTCTCCTATTACATGGAGTTACTACCCACGTGTATCAATATAGGCCTGTCTGGGAACCAGACAGCATCTCCGTCAACTAATTCGATCGGGGGTAGGAATTCCACTAAATCAAAACGTCAGGGATCAAAATTTCACTAGTTACGCTGGTAGAAGCACCGTGACACCGTGACATAAGACTTCGATCCATCCCTGCATGTAAATCCGACATGTTGCCTGCATGCTGTTGTAACACGTGTGTGAGTAGTGTGTTCTGTCATGTACGTTGGAGCTGAAGCAGACTACAGACTGACGGATTATCGTGACATTGGCCTCTTACCAGTGTTATCCTCCCCTAAACCTGTAGAGTACCCAAACACGTACCATACCTGTATACCAAATATCACAAGACCCTAGACATACGTACGATAATCTGTATTCACTGACCTACCCCCCCAGACAGTAGAATACTTAAGATGGATGTATTTACACACACACATACACGCAGATCTTAGAAATTAGGATACCTATATACCTAAATTCCGTCAGTACCTAGAAATACATTTACACAAGAGACTTGTAGACCAAACTTCCCTAGACACTAAATACGTATGATACCAGTACGTACATGTACGGTATCTGTAACCTTTTCTCCTCCAGAACCTAGAAATACGTCTGACACATACACCACCAGAGATCCTAGAAATTCCTAAAAATACACCAACCTCCTCAAGAACCTAGAAATACGTAGGACACATACACCACCTGAGATCCTAGAAATTCCTAAAAATACACCAACCTCCTCAAGAACCTAGAAATACGTAGGACACATACACCACCCGAGATCCTAGAAATTCCTAAAAATACACCAACCTCCCCCAAACCCTAGAAATACGTATCGTACAGTTACTTAACAGTAAAACTACCATAGACCTCCCGAAGACACTACAGATGCGTATGTACTGTACAATACATGTGTATCCGTACTTAACTATACATACGCCCAACGCCTGTACACCTACCTCTACACATCCTAGAAATATATACTTACCTGTATACCTACTGTAGACCTCACAAAGATTCTACAAATACGTACCATACATGTGTATCTACCCTCGAACAGACACTAGATATGCATACTTACCTAAATATCTACCCACCAACGAATAATACTTTATTTTTTTTTCAAAAGTTGGTATTAACCAGAAATAGCGTCTGGTCAACAACATGTTAGACAGGAGTGTTTCTCTCTGTCTGTCTTTAGTTTTCTGACTCCTCTTGTGTCTAAACATGACCATGATATTTGGCCTATTAAGTTACTAGAGAACACACGATACAGTGACAGACAAAGTTTAATTCCAAATATTTAACGGAGGACATAACACAGTTTACAAGAATGTAGATTCGATTTACACCAATAGAATGGTACACATTTACTCGAGTCTTGAAATAAACTCTCGTGTGGTTGGCTTTACATAATACAATCGAAAGAAGACATGTCTCCTCTGTCATATATCATGTTAGAGGAGAACAAATATATTAAATGGCGTACACGTTTATATAGCAGGTTTACAATGACACAAAGTGTATAATGATACGTTAATGCGGTATGTGTATTTGTTCGAAAATTGCTGATATGGATGTCAAATGTGCCTGAAAAGGCGGTCATGAATGGACAGTGTACTTGAGGGGACGTCTCTACAGCAATTACAGAGGAGATATTTGGGGGACATTTCCATACTAAATATGGTATAATTTACTATTTGTATTTGTATGCAGAATGTATTCTCATTGAATATGAATTTAATGTACAGTTATTTTGAGGCAGTTTCCTTAAAATATGACGTATCCAAATTTATTTTGATTTTCTGTAGTACAATATACATTTGTTAGAGGGACGTGTCAACATTTAACAAGCCTTCTGCGTGCAGTGTATATTTGTTAGGGGACGTGTCGACATTTAAAATGACTGTTGCGTGCAGTGTATATTTGTTAGGGGGACGTGTCCACATTTAAAATGACTTGCGTGCAGTGTATATTTGTTAGAGGGACGTGTCCACATTTAAAATGACTGTTGCGTGCAGTGTATATTTGTTAGGGGGACGTGTCCACATTTAAAGTGACTGTTGCGTGCAGTGTATATTTGTTAGGGGACGTGTCGACATTTAAAATGACTGTTGTGTAGTGTATATTTGTTTGGGGACGTGTCCTCATTTAACAAGACTGTTGCGTGCAGTTTATATATTTGTTTGGGGGACGTGTCCTCATTTAACAAGACTGTTGCGTGCAGTTTATATATTTGTTTGGGGACGTGTCCACATTTAACAAGACTGTTGCGTGCAGTATATATTTGTTAGGGGACGTGTCGACATTTAACAAGACTGTTGCGTGCAGTATATATTTGTTAGGGGACGTGTCAACATTTAACATGACTGTCGTGTACAGTGTAGTTTTGTTTTAGGGATGTGCCCACACTAGATATGACTATTATGTACAGTGTATTTTTGTTTTAGGGATGTGCCCACACTAGATATGACTATTATGTACAGTGTATTTTTGTTATAGGGATGTGCCCACACTAGATATGACTATTATGTACAGTGTATTTTTGTTTTAGGGATGTGCCCACACTAGATATGACTATTATGTACAGTGTATTTTTGTTTTAGGGATGTGCCCACACTAGATATGACTATTATGTACAGTGTATTTTTGTTTTAGGGATGTGCCCACACTAGATATGACTATTATGTACAGTGTATTTTGTTATAGGGATGTGCCCACACTAGATATGACTATTATGTACAGTGTATTTTTGACTATTATTAGTGTAGGGATGTGCCCACACTAGATATGACTATTATGTACAGTGTATTTATGTTATAGGGATGTGCCCACACTAGATATGACTATTATGTACAGTGTATTTTTGTTTTCGGGATGTGCCCACACTAGATATGACTATTATGTACAGTGTATTTTTGTTATAGGGATGTGCCCACACTAGATATGACTATTATGTACAGTGTATTTTTGTTATAGGGATGTGCCCACACTAGATATGACTATTATGTACAGTGTATTTATGTTTTAGGGATGTGACCGCACTAGATATGGCTATTATGTACAGTGTATTTATGTTATAGGGATGTGCCCACACTAGATATGACTATTATGTACAGTGTATTTTTGTTTTCGGGATGTGCCCACACTAGATATGACTATTATGTACAGTGTATTTATGTTTTAGGGATGTGCCCACACTAGATATGACTATTATGTACAGTGTATTTATGTTATAGGGATGTGCCCACACTAGATATGACTATTATGTACAGTGTATTTTTGTTATAGGGATGTGCCCACACTAGATATGACTATTATGTACAGTGTATTTATGTTTTAGGGATGTGTCCACACTAGATATGACTATTATGTACAGTGTAGTTTTGTTATAGGGATGTGCCGTCACTAGATATGACTATTATGTACAGTGTAGTTTTGTTATAGGGATGTGTCCACACTAGATATGACTATTATGTACAGTGTATTTATGTTTTAGGGATGTGCCCACACTAGATATGACTATTATGTACAGTGTATTTATGTTTTAGGGATGTGCCCACACTAGATATGACTATTATGTACAGTGTAGTTTTGTTATAGGGATGTGCCCACACTAGATATGACTATTATGTACAGTGTATGTTTTGTTATAGGGATGTGTCCACACTAGATATGACTATTATGTACAGTGTACTTTTGTTATAGGGATGTGCCCACACTAGATATGACTACTATGTACAGTGTATGTATGTTTTAGGGATGTGACCACACTAGATATGGCTATTATGTACAGTGTATTTATGTTTTAGGGATGTGTGATTGACAGTAGTCACAATGTATATTTTGTACGAAGGAGATTCCCACACTTACTCTGACCGTACATTCTATGTATAATTAACTTTAGGACCCCAAATATTAAACTTCGTTTATCCTTTCCATAGTTATGTCACGTCAAAAAAGATATACACTTACTCTACAATAAACTAACAATCCTATTATACAAAGTTAGTTTGATTTAATTCCAGTCTATCTTTTTTACTGATGGATGAAAAGATGTGGGCACTCGAAATCACAATTTTATTTTATTTGTATGCTTCAACGTTGTGTTGTTTCTGTAAAACTATCATCAGTGAATGATCTCCATGCTATAGGGACAACCACCGAGACGATGTTGTCCTTGACGTCTTCGGATGGGTCATACTTACCTTACACAATCATATATGTTGAAAGGCGAAGATAATCCTCAGTACATGGGATGTGATGAATCATTTACAGTTTAACATTTTTTTATTGGATACACTGACCTTCTGTCTAATCAAGAAAATTTTGATCCTAACTTTACAAGTCTAAAGACCCTTTTTGAAACTGTTCAGATTTACAAAAGTCTACGTTATCTGAAAGATGTTGGTCTATATTGTAGAATATGACTTACCATTTTAATCTCTAGTGATAATATAACCATTTAAGATTTTTAGCATTTGTCTTTTGCCTTATAGCTCGTTCGATGTTATTTCCTTATGGATCGCTGTACCTTACACCGATCATGGCCCTAATGACATTGTATGTGTTGACGAGCCGTTAAGAACGTAATAATAACAATAACGCCGTGTTCTTGTGTTTACGTAGCGCAGACTCGAAATACCTACCACAGAGTATTAGTCGTATATGTTGTATATCAGAAGGCTAT